AAAATTCGCTTTGCGAAGACCGGTAAGCGTTTCGCTTACCGATCTTCGCAAAACGAACCCCGACGATCAGCTGTTCGGCGGCCAAAATGGCCGCTGGAAGCCTGGAAATGGCCCAAAATGGCTGCGCGCAGCGTTTTCGTGCCCTCGTTAAGCGAGGCGAGGGCGCGAAAATGGCTGCCGGCCATCCTGAAGCATCGCTGAACGGTGAGTATCTGGCCCATTTGGAACGCATTAAACCATGTTTAATGCGTTCCAATGGAAATCCCTGCCCCGTTCAACGATGCTTCAGCATAGCGAAGGTTAATCCGGAACGGATTAACCTCGCTATGCGAGGCACCACTGTATATGTGACACCACAGAGAAGTCTAACTTCATAGCTTCTGCATTTAGGTAACAGACATATGATGATTTTTAAAAGCATGTCACAGGGCAGAACTGGTGAACTGCCACCATTCATTATTTTTAAATGAACATAAATGAATATAAGAACACAAGAGAGTCTTGTTGAACCAAACTAAAACCCTGTATAGTCCAGCATTTTAACCTGGGGTTCAATCCCAGGTAGCCGGCTCAGGGTTGACTCAGCCTTCTATCCTTCCAAGGTCAGTGAAATGAGTACTCAGCTCACATGTGGGGGGGGATGTATAGCCTGCATAATTAACTTGTAAACCGCCCAGAGAGTGCTTGAAGTGCTATGTGGCGGTATATAAGCAGCACACTTTGCTAAGCGGCATGCTTCTGCTTTGCTTTTGGACTGAATTTTGCAGGCAACTCAGTGCATCAGCAACTAACTCCCTCCCTACTTTTCCTTTATCAGCCTCACAGGCCAAATCTGGCCCACAAGAACGATCCATTTGGCCCAAAGGGTCCCAGAGGAGGGACCTTCTTCTCCCTAAAGAAGGGAGAGGGGCAGAACAGCAAGTAGATCAAACCTCAGTCAATTAGGCCACAGCAAGTCAACCAACACTGCCTGCCAACACGGGAAGGGAAAACGGGGGGAAATGTGCCTTGCACTCAGACCCCAGCTAAGGACCACCTAAGGCTGCAACTGCAGGGACTCAGAGAGCATAGGATGGAGCGAAGGAGGCTCTGAGTGCTTGCTGAATCTCCTTCCTTGCCATCACATTCAGGATGACAGGTAGCAAGCAAATCCATCTTCAGCTGGCACCTGGAGGAATCGCTTGCTGAAATACCAGTGGAATCGCTTTTTCTGTACAAAGAGAAACACCAACACGCTTCCTTCTGCACAGGAAAGGGACAGTAGGCAGTGTGACGTCAGGGACTGAGGACCTAGTGATGGAGCTGGTCTAAGGGTCTGGTCCCAAAGAACAGTGTCGCTCTAAAAACCAACCTCACCTCCTTGCTTTACTGCCAGTATTCTACTTCCACCCGTTTCATTTCACCCTTATAGTACTATGACCTGACACAGCTATACAAAGTGTTTTTAGGAAGGAGTTATTAAAGACACAGTATTTATGTCATGTGGTCACTGTACTAACCTCTTTTTCCCGTACACTGTCGGAGCTGTACAAGAAAGTACCAAAGCGGCAGCTATACAAGTGATCCAGAATTGTAATCAAAAATTGTTCATTGAATTCAAAAGCTGTAGGAAACTATATACAAGGAAGATAAATATTTAGAGCAATGCAGTTTAATTATCACAAGACATTCCAGTTGTCAATGTATATGCAAGTAATTCCGCAAAGTTATAGCTGCCAATATAGACACAAGGCAGCTTCTAAAAACTTGAATACCGTGCTACATTGCAGTGGCAGGGCCCACTGATTTCACAGAGATGCTTTTAAGTACTAAAACTGTCTCTCTCCTTTCTTGTTTTTTGTCCAAGCCCTGGACACAAAGAATAGTTCACAGAAAGGACCATTTAAGAAACCCTCAGAGTGATAGTTTTAAAGGCACTCAATAATCTCATGGATAGGCTGCAATATCAAGGGGGGAACCATCCTGAGAATTAATATAAGAAATACAGCCTAAATTCCATTACTAATCCCAGCTAGAGACCCCTGAATCAACTGCTGGATGGTAAAGCAACAGTTACATAAATCACACAAACAGGATCTGGATTTAACCCCCAACCTGTATGTAATCCTGCGCTGAACTGAGAACCATGTGATTGACTTGTGAGAAAAATGCACAGGATTATGCCGTAAATTTCACTGTCTCTCTTAATAATTTGGAAGAGAAAAGAAGTTGGCCAAGTTGCAGCTCTTTTTTTTTTTTTGCTTGACAGAAGACAGCTTTTTTTTTCTTTTAAAAAATCTGGTAAGAATTTGTATTAAGATACTGCAAAGTTAGTGGACGGCCTAGACCATTTACATAGAAATAACCGGAGGGGAGTAAATAGCATGACGTCTGTCAACGCAGAAACCCAGTTTCAGAAACGCAGCTTACTTGTTTGGACATCTGCCACACACAGTCAATGAACTGGAGGAAGATGGGTGACCGGTCGGCATCCGCATGATTTTTGTCTCCATGGCCAATTCTCTGAAACGAACAGATGACACAAACTACACTTGAGACATCAGTAGAGATTCAAGCTTCACTCAGGTTGGTGACCTCCAATTTCTACAACAACAGTCCTTTTTTTTTAAGGGTCTCAATGGTTTCAATGGAGTTAAAGCACATACTTCATTCCAGCCTTTATTTGTAGCCTTCATTTCTACTTTAATATGCCAAAATGCATTATGAAGAAAATTTGTAAGCTTATTCTGTTTAGGAGAATTTGTTTTATAAGCATACAAGAAAAGCAATAATATATTAAAATGCATTATCTGTACCATTTTTGTAGACATACACCAGTGCCCTCCAATCTCCCCTACCCCAGTTATTTCCCAGTTTCCAAAAACCGAGCAATGTACAGCTAAAACGCCAACCTTTGTTCACCCAACAGACAGCTCATTTCTTCAAAAGCAGCCCTGTTTCCCAAAACAACTTGATGACACAAACATAGGCTTTTAAAATGGACTTGGAATTGTTTTCAAAGGACACATTAGTTTATTACTGAAACAGCAGTTAGCCGCCAAAGCTTCAGAGTTATGTTCCGATCCAGCAATATGGTTTTGCTTAAGGCAAAGATTTAAAAGTCATGTCTCTTTGGTCTGGGAAAATCTGCTCAAGAAGACTGTCAACTTTGGCAACCCAAGTTTGCTTTAATGGCCTAATGGGAAACTAACACAGATAAATCACACTTATGTACATGATAGCTAGACACAAACCACTGTTCTTTAGACTAGTGTTAAATCAACAAAGATAATGGAAGAGTCCAGCTTTAGTAAATATGGTTTTAATCCCTTCACTAATTTATAATATATTTTATTGTTTTCCTACTTTAAAGCTTGAATTGTATGGCACGGTGCTTAAAGCTTAAGAAGAGGCAAGCTAATGCTTTTCTAGGCCACGCTACGCACAGAGAAATACTACTTCAAAAGGCTCTATAAAATGTCACCACTAAAATATTTTTGGAGAAAAAAAGCACATGAATCTAAGGCTGTGATTCTGCAAATGAACTGAATCTTCCATGTTTCAAAGCAACTTTAGTATATCAAGTCCAATAGCAGGCAGTTTACAAAACATATTAAAGCCCAGGCTGCTGGAGAACACTCACAATTAAACTTTACAGACATAAAACATGTTCCTTGAAATTGTAGTACAACACTGATAGACTGCGTTCCTGTATAATACTGAGCAATATATAATATCAGTACTTTAGAGGATTCAATACAACTACCTGACATAGATTTTAGTAGTGTTTAAAGCCACCACGAAAGGTAGGGTGTTATTTTCCTCATTTATATATGTGGCATGAGGGTGGTTAAAGCTATCTAAATGTTTCTGACACACAGGTGGGGGTGGTAGACCTTTTTCAAGGTCACATAGTGAGTTGGTGGCATGCATGAAGGGGCTATGCAGGGGGCAGGAGCTCATGGGGGTGGGTGGGAGATCTGTCTCCGCGGCCCGGTCCAGCCCAAGCCACGGACCGGCACTGGGCCTTGGACTGGTGGTTGGGGACCCCTGTCCTACATGACACCCACATTTTAGTTCACTCCCCCCCAATTTTCCTTTGTGCTTAATGTAATGCAGTGAAATGGATTCTTAGTAAAACAGTTTTATTTAGCAAAATTTCAGCTCTCTAGGAGGTGTTACAAAAATCTTTTGTACAGAAGTAATCTAGGCTAACTCAGTTACGCTTAGATCCCACAGAAATATATGAGATACATGTTGAGCCATGATTAACCTATTTTGTACTGATTTTGAAGCAACACAAGTACAACAAATTTAGTCTGGATCCAATCCATTGGTCAGAATCTTACAGTTGATTTCTTCTTTGTACAAAGGAAATAGCGTAACTTACAGAGGCAAATTGTCATTTATTAATGAGGTGCCATTTGGGTAATCTAGCCTATTTAACCATTAATCACCAATAGGATTCTGGCCATTATTATTCAGGCCACACAGAATAATGAGCATTTATATACTGTACTTCATTCTTGATTGTTTTGTTTTCCATGAGCTATCATAATGCATTATTTCCAATATAGGGATTTATGGGGAAAAAGCAGTACAGAACCATTCCAAGCATATCAAATAAATGCTTTGTCAGAGTTCCTCACATAAACTCTTTCAAAAATGACTGCAGAGCCCTGCACATTACAGATGGTGAAACAGATGCAGAGAAAGAGTATCACAACATTGAGTCTAACGTGGTTTTTAATTTGTTCTCACCGATGCAAATTTGTGTCCGAAGCTTATCCATTCCTTCTGTACCAAGACTTCAAAGCCCAAAATTGTCCGGTAATAACTGTCCAACATCAACATAGCTAGGGAGGTGAGCTGCGCTGTGCGGTCCCAACCGTCACTACAGTGGACTAAGACGGAGCTCTTTCCGGAGGATACTTTGTCTGCTACTTGAATGGCACCTGTTAAAACAAGCTGACAAAAAGGAAGTAAAAACAGTGTAGATTTGTGTGTGTGTGCAGAGATATATGCCAAAGCCTACCAGGTTGACGACTGAATTAAAAGAACAGACTGTGGTACGTATGACCACCACCAAATGTCATTTTTCTCATGCATACCTTGATATGTTCAAGCCAATGTGTTGACTCCAGGCTAGAAAGCCAGTGAGATTCTTCCACTTGTGGGTAAACAATGTCCTTCAACTTTTTCAAAGATTCCCGCATCACGTGAATATTATGGATATCTAGGAAGAACAGCTCAGCATTGGGATAGGCATCATCACTTTCATATCCACCTCCAGTCGCCTGTAATTCAGAAAAAGGAAGTGTCTGCTTAGCTTCCATTATTCTATTATACTTGGTGGTTTTAAAAAGGTAGAATAAGTAAGCAATGTCATATTTTATGCACAGGAATAAAAGCACACTTGAGTTTGGATTAAAATGTATTTGAAATACAGTTTATTGGGCTGTGAATCAACCACACATGAAAACTGACAGAATAAGCTAATCAAGGAAGTACAATGGTGCCTCGCTTAGCGATGTTAATTTGTTCTGAAAAAATCGCTGCTAAACGATTTCATCGCTAAGCGAAACGCGGTTTCCCATTGAAATGCATTGAAAACCGGATAATCCGTTCCAATAGGAACGAATTGCCGTCCTTAAGCGAAAATCGCCATAGGAAACATCGCTAAGCGAAAGGCGGTTCCCCAATTGAAATGCACTGAAACCTATTCAATAAATCTCAATGGGGGGAAAAATACAATAACAAATTTAAAAAGAGTCAGAACAAAGTCAAATTTGGTTAACAAAGGGTTTATTAAGTGTACTTTATGATTTCAAACATTTTAAACAGTAAACTTTAACTTTATAAATAACAGGAAAACATTTAAAAAACAGCAAACATGAGGCTGTTTAAACCATCATTAAGCGAAACAGGTGACCCAAAATTTAATCGCTATGCGAAGCATGGTCCCAACCATCGCTAAGTGAAAATCGCCCATAGAGACCATCGCTAAACGAAGCGCAAAAACGCTCCAAAAATGTCATTGCTAAGCATTTTTGTCGCTAAACGGAGTGCCCGTTAAGCGAGGCACCACTGTATTTGCTTTCCTCTCAAGAATGACAGGTCTACATTAAAGGAAGCAGCTGAAACATTGTCTTAATTTCCTATTATTTGACATAATCAATATTTGTCCAGTAAGTATTAAAATAATAATAGCCTCTGGGCCATCAAATTCCATTTTAAAAGCTGGTTATTTCCATGAAATCTTTTCTATTTCAAGCTCTGGCTTTAATTTTTTTTTTACCAAGCATACTTTAAAAAAACTAACTAAGTTTGCAAAGAAAATAAGAGTTTCCATAAACGTCTTTAGCCACGTAGCTCTTCATTCTGGCATATGGTTAGTAGTAGAAGATAGAAGGTAAAAAAAAGTCCACACCTCTCAGGAGATGCATATTTTCCAAGTCATTTGGTATCAGGTGTCAACACATGTCCCAAAAACGAACAAAATCACCCAAGTTCTGCTAACTGTAGGAAGAATGAAATGTTTCTGTCTATTGGCATTATAGAGGAGTATGCTACAGATGCCTTCTAGCCCTATCTGGCTGAAGTGAAGAGACAGTTAATTTTAGCTATGGAGGGATCTGACTAATCCTGGGGTGTGGAACAACAAAGGAAAGGGAGTAGCCAGAACGCATGAGGGAAGGCATGCAACCACTAGACATCTCATAAACAACTTCTAAATCCTGTATTTTTCTCCATGGAAGGTTTCGCAGCAATGACATTTTCCCACTGTTTTGAAAGTGTAACTCAGAATTAATTTTTACATTCCTAGCCAAGCAATCCCAAAGAGAAGCTACCAGACAATTCTGTATACTGTGAAAACTAGTTTTACATAAAATACATGCAAAAGAGAAAGAATTACTCATAATTTTGTGCTCCATATTCCCTCTGTGAATGGACATGTTATTTACCTGTAACTACCGTAGTTCTTCAAATGAATTCACACATGTTGATGCTTCTGTGCCTGTACCAAACTTGTCGGAACATTCTAGAGGAGTAGTTTCCAATCTTGGGTCCCCAGATGTTCCCAGACTAACATATGCAGAAGCCTTCACCACCAGATGTGCTGGTTGGGGTTTCCGGGAGTTGCAGTCAAAGAACACCTGGATGATCAAAGGTTGGGAGCCCCTGCTCTAGAGTTTTAAGAGAAGACGGCTGGAATAGCCTCCCCACGCACTGTGCATGTCTCAGCACCTAAGTGGTTATCCTTCCACCGCTGCACAAGGAACAATGTAGTAATATGGCAGACAGAGAGGAGGTTGGGTGGGTGGTGTGAATTCACAGATGACCATTCAAAGAACTACAGTTACAGATAAATAACTTGTTTTCCTTCTTCGTGGCCTCAGTGAATCACACGTGTGGGTGGCTGACAAGCTCACTGACTGGCTGGTGGGATGTCCTGCCAAAACGCATGAAATTACTGCCGTACCAAACACAGCATCAAGTTTCACCCTGACATCCAACCTGTAATTTTGATGAACATCAAGCGTTGAGACCACATTGCAGCTTTATTAATTTAGCTCAATCCCTTTAAGAAAAGCTGTTGAAGCAGCCACAGCTGTAGTAGTGTTTCCCCCCCCAGGGATTCAGAGTGGTCTCTTCACAGTAGGACAGTGTGACTGCATTTATAAGCGATTTCCAAAGGCACTGGGGTGAGATCTGAGCACCTGTCTTGCAGGGTTAATAACTAACAGTCTGTTAGTTTTCTAAAAATGCTTAGTCCTTGAAGTGTAAAATGCTAGGGCTCAACGAACATCCAATGTTTTTAGTTCCAGCTCTGTAGAGGGGGATGGAAAGAAAGCTGGAAATACGAGGGGATTGGCTGAGATGAAAATAGGAAACCACATTGGGCAGGAAAATCGTATCATGAAAAATGGTGACTTTATAGAATTACAAAAAAAGAAAATCGTGCCAAAGGGCACACAATTCACTTGCTTGCTGTGCTGATGGAACAGCTAGTAAGAATGCAGTTTTGTATGTGAGGCCGTCTAAACTGCGCTGTGGCCATCAGTTCAAAGGGTGGTTTCATTAATTGGTTGAGGACTATGGAGGAGGAACCCACATGCCTGGGAGACATTCTGTAGACTCTGCAGGACCGTTTTCAGAGTTGGGTTCTTGAAATATTGACATGCTTTGGAATTAATGGGCTGTTTTGATACTACAGCAGATAGACAGACCTTTATACAGGAATGTGAGAGGCTGCTCTCCTTAGCAGGAAACACAGTCCTGTATGCAGTTTACATTGAAGATCAGATCCACTATAACCCTGTGTTGCAGGGACACTAGTAAGAAGAATTAAAGAAGATTTTTCAACGCTGAGTCATGAATGTGTCCCATAGCAAATCATCATGACCCTGGCTTGCTCAGAAACAATATGTTTGACATTTCACGTTCTTCTGAATAGTGATAAGATCTATGGTTGGTTGACCCCAGTAGCTGCAGATTTCACTGAAGACTTTTGTGGCTATTTTTCATTCATGATGGGAGCTACCTATCTGTTTAAGCTGTCCTTTAAGAGCCTCTCAGTGCAGTGGTTAAACTGCAGTGAAAACTTTGCTTACCACATGAGTTCAATTCCAGACTTAAGTAGTCTGTTTGAGGTTGACTCAGCCTTCTACTCTTTCGAGGTCAGTAAACTGACTACCCAGCTCGATAGAGGGGAGAACACGTACCCTTCATAATTAAATTGTAAACCATCCAGAGAAAGCTGTGAGATGGTATATAAGCAACATGCTTTGCTTAACTTTTGCTTTGTTTACTAATTGTTTGTCTTCCCCAGTTACATGGATCACCATTGTAAAGATATGATGCAGAAGACACCATTCTCCAGAAGTGAATTGTTGGGTACAAAAGAGATATGGAGTGTGCTCCACCAACTTTGTTTACAGTAGATAATACATCATCTTGGTATTGTCGGCGGCCACCTGTACTACTTTGCCCAAAATCAGTCTCAAATGCCTTGAAGGCCTTTATTACTGCAAGCAATTCCAGTTTGTTTATGTGCATTCATCTTTCCTTCTTAGATCACGGCATATGGATTTGATAATTCATGCAGTGGAGCTGTTCCCTGTCAGCATGTTGAAAGGGGTCAGGTACTAGGCCTGAAGGGACCTCATTTTCAATTGTGCATGTGGGATGATAAATGTTGGTGATGCCATGAGGCTGAGAAGCCTCTGATGTATGCTGCAATTCCTGCATCTGATTCAAATTCCTTTATCAGGGCTATTGCATCCTGTTCTAAGTGGGCCCTTGCATTCCATAAGTGCACTGATGTAATGAACTTTCTCATGTAGTTTTAAAATAGATTTTTCTAAGTTTATTTGAAGACTGAGATCTGCCAGGAGACATAAAGTGAATGAGATGTCTTTTTCTGCCTTGACCCTGGAGTTGGCAATAATCAACCAGCTGTCTATGTACAGAAATACTGTTATGCTGAAGATTCTGGGTGCTATAGAGAAACCAAAAGGGACTGCCTTGAACTAATAGATAGTTGTCAAAAGCAAAATACAGGAAATAGCTACGGTTGGGCCAGATTGCAATATGGAAGTAAGCATCCTTGAGGTCTATCATAGCAAAACAGTTTCCTCTCTTGAGAAGTAGCAGTATTGATTCTATCATCACCATCCTGAACTTCTGGGTTTTTATGTAAGAGTATACATCCTTCAGGTCCAAACTAGGTCTCAGGCCTCCATCCTCCTTTGGGACCGTAAAATAGAGGGAGTAGAACTCAGTCAAAAGACCTGCAGTGCAGAGAGATGTAAAATGTATGGCATAGACTTATTTGATGATGGTTAAAATCCACTCATCGTTCATTATGATGCACCAGATTGGAAGAAATTACACTAAAAATGGTATGGTGTCTTGTAAAAGGAGGGTCGATGGCACGAGGTTCAAGTCCGTAGGCAGTCAAAGATTGTGCTCTGATTTCTTTTCATGTCTTCTGGTGGTGGCTGACTTGAATTTCTGGCATTGTTAACTGTTGTAGTAGTATGGACATGGTAAAGGTGGATGCTTCTGTCAGATTGACTGAAATCTTTTCCAATATAATCAATATCTGTCGCTGCGGATATTGGGGATAAAAGCCCATTCTTTTAGTGGTGTTTTTTCTTCTTGTGTAAACTATCCACTATATCATCCTTCTTTTAAAGAATCCTCCGCCACTGAAGAACAATCTTTTATTCTGGTCCTCGAATCCTCAGAGGCCAGCTGAGCAGAGTCAGGTATATCTTCCTAGAGTCACTTCTTAATTTTTTTTCTCTCTCTTGTCCTCTGTGAGGCTGTCTAACAACGGCTGGGTTTTATCCCAAAGGAAGTGCTTGTATGCTTCCATAGCTCCTTGATATTAATGATACAAATGCCTAAGGCCACAGTAGAATACATCTTCCTGCACAACATGTCCTTCTTATGGCCATCTCTGTGGTTGATTAATATAGTTCAACATGTCCATCTTGTGACCATCTCTGTGATTGATTAATAGTAATAGAAAGCCTTGTACTGACAAAGACAAGAAGGCTTTACAACAACAAACAGCAAGCTCTCTTTCTCTCTCTTTTAAGGAAACTAATAGGAAGAGAAGGAACGAAAATGAGGAAGGAAATGATAACAATGACAAAAACTAAGGTTTCTGAGGATTTCCAAAGAGTAACGGAAAAATTAGCTCTAGGAAATGTGCCTAGGAGTTTTCTCAGCAGTGACTAAAAGAAACTGTGGGATAACCGTTAGACACAGGGACATGTACAGTAGGGGCAGCTATTCTAATGGTCTTCTCTTTAAGCTCTAGAATGTTCAAGAGTTTCTCAAAAGCACAGAAAAGCTCACATGCATGATTCACAGAGACCACAAAGAAGAACCACCTGCCCCTTAAGACCTGCTAGCAAGATCTGCCTGTGTGATGCTTACATAACAGAAAGCCCAAGTTTATTGGCATTTGTAAGACTGCAAGACATTCACTGAACTACATTTGATCTGTATAGCTTTCCATGTGGCTTTCCTGTAGCTTTATTTGTGCATTGTTGTTTTTAAGTTTCATTTTATATTCTAGCACGTCAGAGTCCAATTTTGCATTGTGCCTCACAGGAGTCAGCCTGTGTAAACCTGGGCAAGCTGCACAATCCTATAGCACTACAAGAAGGGGTCAGTAAACCACTTCTGAGTACAGTGGTGCCCCGCTTAGCGATGTTAATCGGTGCAGCAAAAATCGCCGCTAACCGAAAACATCACTAAGCGATTTTTAAAAGCCCATAGGAATGCACTGAAACCCCTTCAATGCATTCCTATGGGCAAAAAACTTACAGTACCTTTAAGCGAAAATCCTCCATAGGGAGGCCATTTTTGCAGCCCAGTATGCGAGGAATCCGTCCCAAAACACAGCGGGCAGCCGTGTTTTTTTACCCGGCAGCCATTTTGGAAGCGCCAATCAGCTGTTGGGAAAACATTGCTATGCGAAAATCGGTAAGCGAAACAGCTTACCAATCATCGCAAAGCGATTTTTTCCCATTTAAAACATCACAATGCGATTTCGTCATTAACCCGGGTGCTCGTTAAGCGAGGCACCAATGTACACTATACCTACTTAAGAAAATCTGGCAAAGGTTAGATGTTAGAATTAACTTGACAAGACATAATTATTATTTAAAAAGTCATTTTTATTAGTCAATTAGACCAATGTCTTGCTGGAGATTTCCATATGCTAAAGCAACATTGTACAAGTGCTTGTCCTATGGTTGCCTGCTGGGCGAATTGTTGCAAAAAACCAGTTGAGCGATCAGTAGTGAAACAGATACCTTGCTAAACAGTGCAGTCCTTTCTGCCACATTGCACACATGGAAATCCCTGACAATCGCAATCTCCATCCCCAATTACAGAATTTAAATCTTGTTCACAGGAACTTGCTTTCCCACCACATTCCTTCATGCAGACTGTGTGTCTGTGGCAAAATGATAATTGTTTTGGTCCACCACCCAAAATGATTGCACTGACTCACACATCAGTTTTCAGATCAGAAATCCAGATAGCATATCTGTAGACTTGTTTAGCATTATCAATAAGCAGATTCCATCTATTGTGTGCAATACTGCAAAGATAATCTGCTTACCTTATTGGCTACGGCATTGACACTGGGCCTCGCATCATAGATAGTCAGTTTTGAGAGCTGGCCATTGGTCTCCCTTATGACCTCCAGATACCGTTCGTCATCTTTGTTTCTTTTCCCACTCATACCAACCAGTGGTTGGCTGGAGCGTGTAATGACAGCCTGGTTTTCTGGATGGATCCATGACAACACCTGATTAAGTGGCATAAAACATTCAGTTAAAGACTGGCTATTTTCTTCAAAACTTTCCTCACTATTTTTCATTCACAGAAGCTTAACTCCAGGAACAGCCTTGAAATATGGATGCTGATACCACTTAAATGTTACAAGAACAGAATGGGAAACTTCTGCCCCACAGGTTCATTATATAGCACTCATGGAACCATTAAAGACCTGTAAAAGGTTGGGTACTAGAAGGGAAGAGGTAAGCACACAGTCCTTCCAGAGGTATCAGCACAGAAATGCATGTCATGCAGTCATCAACATAATGTTTTAAGGACATCTTAGTTCTACACAGAAAGGCTAACATTGACTAATAGCTCTTGAAATGCATCCAGCAATAAACAATGCAAAATAAGGCATCTTTCAGCACAGACTGAGACCAACATCCAGAGAGGAAAATCCTTCCTCAAAGAATGGCTTGAGGAACATGTATAGAACTATTCCAGCAAGATCAAGTTTTTACAGAAGCTGAAATACATATAAGGAGTGCATAATTTTCTATTTTCAGTTCTAGACCTTTGATATTGTTTTGAAAAAACCCTTTCTAGGACAATAAGGGATCGGGGATTAAGGCCAGCCCTGCAATCCAGCTCCGTTTAGCTAATCAGTGATATGGCACAATCCCTCTTTGGGAAAATTCTGAAGACATTCAGGTGAAAGACCCCAGATAGGCAAGAAAAATAACATCAGTATATTATAGGGAAGCTTGTTCCCACTGAGGGAATTGCACAAAAGGGTTGCATGAGTTCCAGTGCTCATTGCTTAATACTGAATTCCCTGTTTCACAGAATAATTTAGACAGCTTAAAATCAACTTACTGGTATTCTACCTCGAGATCTGAAAGCAGACACTTTTTTGAGATCTTCGTCTGTGGCATTATATGGCACTACCAGGAGGGATGGATAGGTGTCACACAGTGCATAATGCTCATTGAGAAAGGTTATCCTCCATTGTTCATTAGGCAGGCCCTTAAAGAGAAAAGATGTGGTCATATTTATGTACCATTTTCTTGTATCTGCTTAACACAATAGCGGGCTGACAAGGAACATAACATGTGTGCTATTATGGCCACAGGGTGGCAATAACCTACCAATTTACCACATATATTTACCAAAATGAGGGTTGAGAACGGTAGATGTGAAGGTCAAGGTCACATGAGATAAGATGCTGCTGAACTTGAAGAAATACAGAACCAATCTGGCAAAATGAAAACTATTTTCTGCTATATGTATATTGCATTATACTATGTTATCTTGTTTACACTGAAGTAGCCCACTTCTGGTCAAAAACAGTCTAATTATTTAAAAATATTAATTTGTTTTAATTTTACCCATATTTAATATGTGTCCATAATTTTAAATTGTGCAATGCTCTGATACAAATAAAGATGGGAGGGAGGGAAGGAAGGAATTCTGTTTTCTTTCTTTCTTTCCACGCAAAGATCAACCTTTGGCTCGGAAAGGTACCAAAACAGGGATGGAAAACAGCTGAAGAGAAGCACCCCTCTAGAAGTATTCACCCTACAAACTGCAAGAATTGGGAACCAGTGCCTTTCAGGATTCTCATGGTCTCATCTCTATCAGTCAGACCAGCTGTGAACTGATGGGAACGGCATCTCAACAGGTGGAAGGCTGCAGGTTGCCGAGTCCTACTCTATAAGCTCTGTTCCCCCACCTTGCCCAAAATAGCTGTAACATATGTTTAAGAATCACTGATGACAGTCCAAGGAGCACAACTAAATTCTCACGAGCTGACCTGATAGGATGCTGAACAAGCCTCTTAGAGAGAAAGAGAGAGAGAGGGAGAGAGAGATGCACATATATCTGTTTATATTGTTTGTACTTCCCATAGTAAAGAATAACAGCAACATTTTGGAACTATCCTGAGATGTGTTGAATGCAACTTTGTTCAGCTTCATGCACTCCCACTTCTGCTAGTATTATATATTTAATCTGAAGCGTGCCACTGTGAAATGATGTGCATGGAAGAGATGCCTAAATTGGAACCAGTTCCACACTTTTAAAAAAATCTTGGGACATAATAGGAAGATACAATATTTATACAGTTAAGCTGCATAATAATGAAAGACCAAAGACATATCCTGTGTTTTAGTGAATTTAACTGAGAGTTCCAGTGTTTATTCATCTTTAAAGAATCTGTTTGATATCACAGCTGTCAGAGTCTATTTTACTAGCTCTGCTTTCAAAGTTCATAGCTTAGAATAAAAAGTCTCCATTGCCTTGTTTTTCTGTCCATTTAGCCCAGTTAAACGCCAAAGCACTTTCTCCCAAAAGTGAATATATGATATCAGTACTTAAAATCCATATAAGGAAAAAAAACATTTTGCAGATGTTTTGGAAAAGCAAAGCAAAACATAAATTAAAAAAAGAAAACTTACTTGTCTCCTGTATTCAACCATAGGATTGTAAACTAGCCAACCATTTTCAGGAAACTTCTCTTCGTTTACAAATGCAAAAAAAGGCTGTATGAATAAAATAGAAAGAAAAATCAGTAGATGGCATTTGAACAGAAGCAAGGAGCTTCAAAAGAGAGCTGTTTAGAATCCTGCCCTCAAACAGACAGACAGCTTTGCTCATGTTGCTATCTATATAAAAGGAACATACTCTGAAAAATTCAAGGATTTTACTTTCCATGAAAAAAAAGTACACTTTCATTTTCACAGGCAGAAAAATGTAAAAGCAGAAAACTTATCTTTAAAACCTAGTTAGAAACATTTCCCGGTTCCACCAAACAGATAGAGATGTCTTGTTGAGATGAAGATTATCCAACAGTACTTATAACCATTACTGCAGAAGACAAATGAATTGCTATCATAAATAGATAAGTCGCCAACTGCACATCAGTAAGAAGATTCCTGAAGCTGTTCCTCCACAGAAAAGAACGGGTGCTGGTCCAGTAGTGTCCAACCCTTAACCTTTGTCTTAGAGAACGAGGAACTGAGGGACTGCATCCTCTCTAAAGTTCCACCAAGACTCTCTGCTCTCCTTTATGGGTAGCATCATCTTCTACATTATCATTTTCCCACTGTACATTCTGAATATGATGCTGGATCAGGAGCAAATTCTGATTAGTGATAACAATGGTTAAAAGTGTAGATATTATTAAACCTGATTAATGGAGGCTGCAGCAGCAGAGGCAGCATAACGAGAGGACAGACCAGACTACATGTAGGAAATGTAGTTTATTTCCTTTTTTTTTTTTCTTACAGTCTCATTCATTCAATTTTGATCCCGCATTCATTAGCGCAAGGCACTATTCTGTGTGGTTATTAATCAATAAAATAAAGCAGAACTAACAATAACTCAAACAGGAGCAAATCTAAAAATAAAATAGCAAATCAACTCAAGACATCACAAACCGCAATAGGGCAGGCGGGTCAACAGATACGCTCACATGACACTGCCATAAAAGGCCACAGCAGTGTTTTTAGCAAAGTCTTAAAGGCAGGCAAGGAGGGGGCCAGGTACAACTCAGCCAGAAGACGGTTCCAAAGGGCTGGTGCCACAGCAGAGAAGGCCTGACTTTGACTAGATGTTTTCTTGGCCTCCCTTGGTGTGGCAAGCTGGAAAAGCATGGCCTGGGAGGATCTGGTGGCGTGGGCGGCAAGCTGGAAAAGCATGGCCTAGGAGGATCTGGTGGCGTGGGCTGATATTGGGGGACAGGTGCTGCAACAAGTAATAGGGTCTCAAACCATGGCTGATGTTCTTGGGGGACAGGTGGTGCAACAAGTAATAGGGTCTCAAACCATGGAGGGCCTTAAAGGTAAGCACTTAAGTCTTGAACTGGACCCAGGACACCACAAGTAACCCATGCAGGCAGACCAGGACTGGGGGAATGTGGTCTAATTTATTCACCTGCCACCAGTTGGGCGACTGCATTCAGAACCTGCAGCAGTCTTTGGGTCGGTCTGAAAGGAAGCCACACGCAGAGAGTATTGCAGGAGATGATCTTGGGAGATCTCTGGAGTTTGAAGAGGGCATTACTTTCATATCTGTAACTGAAGTGACAACTATTCTGGGAACTCAGCTCTTTTTTAAATCCCAGTACAGTTTCCAAATGTAATGTCGATTTTCTGCCTGAAGAGAAGGAACGGGGAACTGGCATTCCTCACACTTAAATCCTTGTCACCTACAGAGTCATAGAATCATGAAGTTGGAAGGAGCCTATAAGGTCACTGAGTCCAACCCCTTGCTCAGTGCAGGAATATAAATCAAAGGATATCTGCCAGGTGGTTGAAGGCCTCCAGGGTCGGAGCACTCACCACTTCTCTAGGCAACTATCTCCATTGTTGTACTGCTCTAACAATTAGGAAGTTTTTCCTGATATTCAACCAAAAGCTGGCTTCTTGTAACTTGAGCCCATTGTTATGGGTCCTGCCCTCTGGGATGATCAAGAACAGATTCTGCTCCTCCTCTGTATGACAATCTTTCAAGTATTTGAAAAGTGTTATCATAACTTCCCTCAGTCTTTTTTCCTCAAGGCTAAAGACACCCAATTCTTTCAATCTTTTCTCGTAAGGCTTGGTTTTCAGCCCCCTGATCATCCTTGTTGCCCTCCTCTGAACTTGTTCCAATTTGGTAGCATCCTTCTTGAAGTACGGTGTCCAGAACTGGACACAGCACTCAAGATGAGGCCTAACCAGTGCCAAATAGAGCAGAGCTAGTACCTCTTGGGATCTGGAAACTAAACTTCTGTTAATGCATCCTAAAATAGCATTTGCTTTATTTCTAGCTACACCACACTGTTGGCTCATATTCAGCTTGTGATCTACAATGATTCCAAGATCCTTCTTGCTCATAGTACTGTATTGCTGAGCCAGGTATTCCCCATCTTGTAAATGTGCAGTGTAATGTAAGAAACCCCTCTGCCCCAGCTTCCAACATTTAAAATCATTTCTGCTTTTGTATAAGAATTGGCAAGCAAAGGTGAAAGTGAGGTGAACTGAACATGAAGTGTATTCCATAAGGTATAGAAAAATCTGGCAGATGTTACTAGAAAGATCTGTTGCTGCTACTGAGAAGCAAGGTGTTAAAATACAGCAAACTGAAGTAATTTGGCATCTTTATAGTATACAGAAACAGTTCCTCTCTCCTTGCTTTTACAGAGCTTGGAAAAATAACTCTAGGGAAATCACAAAATATAAAAATAAAAACATAAGTATGTCTGAAAGAAAATAGTTCCAATACCAAAGGACCAAAACACTGAGTAACATTCTCACCGAAATTCTAGTAAGTGAGCATATGGGACAGAAAATAAAATCCTCTCCATAAAAATGATTAAAATTATATGACATGCTTACAAACAGAACCGCAAATCTGCAACAATATTCTTTGTATACTTCCCTGAAGAAAAAGTATCTTGCAGATGCTTTCCATCAAGGGAAATTACCCACCACGCATCTGCCAAATGGACGGGAAAGCTGATTTACATTGGAATGACTGCATTTTAGCTATCAAAATAATTTGGCATTGGTATTTAAAGCATTAAGAATTTCTAAGAAGCATCATCTGAGCTGAAGTTTCAGAAAGACAAGAGTACTGAAAACAATTGCAGCCTGTACCGGCATATTATTTATCCGGCAGTACTTGCTTGCTTTCCATGAGATTGAGGCAGCCTAGACGCCTCTCATTTTCTACAACCTTAAACACAGGTTAGGCTGAGAGGTTCTGACTAGCTCAACATCATCCAGGCAGCTTCATGGTAAACTGGAGATTTTGAACAGAGTTACAGAATGAGACTTGATCCACGGCACTGCACTAGCAATTTTGCCCTAGTGTTGTAATTTACAGGTGCTTAAGATTTTTCTCAGAAGTTCTGATCAGATTTTGCACGGCCACTGGAGGTTCAAGACAATCCTGCATTCCACTCTGCATTAAATAAAACTACATGAAAAACTAATTCTGTGCTTGTCTGAGGCTTAGCAGAATAAACAGAACTGAAAACTCCAAAGTCTACTGTATCGGACATACTCTTTGAAAAAGTGTACAAATTCTGAATATTTGCAAAGTGATTGTTTTTTAAATCAGTTTTTTAAAAACTCTTTCCGTATGTCGAACTCTGGAATCCACCTCTCTGCCCCTCAGATGCCAAAGGAAGGCCTTAAATCAATTTTTAAAAACCTCTTTCCGTATGTCGAACTCTGGAATCCACCTCTCTGCCCCTCAGATGCCAAAGGAAGGCCTTAAATCAATTTTTAAAAACCTCTTTCCGTATGTCGAACTCTGGAATCCACCTCTCTGCCCCGCAGATGCCAAAGGAGGGCCCGAGAGGGGCTTCACAACTGCAGCATAAAGGTTACAAAATGCTTAACCAAGAGAGCTCAGTCTGTGTCCCTCTCTGTTTGCTTTAGGACAGGCAGTCAATAAACATCTCATCCAGATTGCTTTTGAGGGGTGGGTATTTAACATTTTAATATTTGTCTGCCTCCCATTTGTTCCCAAATGCCTTAACTTGGGTTTCCTCTCTGAGACTTTTTAAAAAATGGTATGGGGTGCTTTTTTGTGATGTTGGGTTATTTCTCATTAGCTACTCTCAGCCTTTTTTAACTTTAGAATGTAAAATCAGGATAGAAATTCTTTTGAATGAATTAAAACATGAGTGAGATGCACCGTAATTCTATCTAAGCTACAAAAAGATTTCTAGTTCTGCATATGTAAATATATATTATCATATGCAATTCTATGCAGATTAACATCCTCTTTAGTCCTGCCTTTTGGTGATGCATGTTCTTCTCTCATGGTGATGTATAAGTGGCCACCTCAGATAAATCTAAAGTACTGCTAGCTAGAGCGGGCCCAATTCAAAGTGCCTGTTTTGACATATAAAGCCCTAAACGGCTTGGGCCCTGGATGCCTGAAGGACCGCCTCCTTCCATATGAGCCTACTAGGCAGTTAAGATCTAGCCGATTTGTTCCCAAATGCCTTAACTTGGTTTCCTCTCTGAGACTTTTTAAAAAATGATATGGGGTGCTTTTGTGTGATGTTGGGTTATTTCTCATTAGCTCCTCTCAGCCTTTTTTTTACTTTAGAATGTTAAAGCAGGATAGAAATTCTTTTGAATGAATTAAAACATGAGTGAGATGCACCGTAATTCTATCTAAGCTACAAAATGATTTCTAGTTCTGCATATGTAAATATATATTATCATATGCAATTCTATGCAGATTAACATCCTCTTTAGTCCTGCCTTTTGGTGATGCATGTTCTTCTCTCATGGTGATGTATAAGTGGCCACCTCAGATAAATCTAAAGTACTGCTAGCTAGAGCGGGCCCAATTCAAAGTGCCTGTTTTGACATATAAAGCCCTAAACGGCTTGGGCCCTGGATGCCTGAAGGACCGCCTCCTTCCATATGAGCCTACTAGGCAGTTAAGATCTAGCCAGGAGGCCCTTTTGAATGTTCTTCTCCTCAGGTAAATCTAAAGTACTGCTAGCTACAAAGTGCCTGTTTTGACATATAAAGCCCTAAACGGCTTGGGCCCTGGATACCTGAAGGACCGCCTCCTTCCATATGAGCCTACCCGGCAGTTAAGATCTAGCCAGGAGGCCCTTTTGAAAGAGCCGTCCCTCAAGGAGGTAAGAGGGATGGCTTGCAGACAAAGGGCCTTCTCGGCAGCTACCCCAAGACTATGGAATGCCCTCCCGACTGAGATTTGTCTGGCGCCGACGCTGATGACATTTCGGCGCCAGGTCAAAACCTTCCTGTTAAATAAATAAATAAATGTGACTATCGATCACAACTAGCTCAGCCCCACTGATTGTAATAAGTCTATTCTAGGTAGGATTCACACAGGTAGGACACACACCCTAGCACTACATTGTATGTAGACCAAGTTACAAGAAGAGATAAGATGCTGCTTGATACTCAGTAAAGATATGACTACTTCAGCCTGCGGCTAAGAAAGAAGCTGAAGGGAAGAACCCCACTCTACTCTTCACAACAAACTTCCTCTGCATCTTTTTCCCCCCCTGCAAAATCATGTGGGAAATCCCATGGGATTTCTTGGGAGGTTTTGTGGATGTATTTCTTTGGAAAAGCTGCCAAGCTACACGGGATTATTACATTTCAGGTACAGAATGGTATCGTTCCTGCATATGATGCACCTGAGAAGGGCTGAAGAGATTCTAAGGTGCTAAGAATTATTACCATGTCTGTACTGAATCTACAAGAAAGGATACTGAGTGGTGCAGAATTTGGCTGTTCCCTGCACAGGAAGTCAAGCAAAAACCAAGCTAGTGATGAAATAAATGAAGGGGAAAGACAAGAAGGAAGGGGGGGGGATGCCCAGGGATTTGTTTTTGTGAGAAGCTGATGTTGCTGGTGCAGAAGGGAGTCTTAGCAGGGAGCTTCAGCATGGCGAAAATCAATGAGAAAGAGAAATTAGTCAAGTGCTTATCACGTCCCTAATACATCACACAGCTGGTTATCCATTTGAGTTATCTCTTTTCATGGCAGATGCCTGGCCAGCTGCCACCACCACAAGGTATCAGTGGCCAAGACACCCAAGAGTAATTAGGAGATGGTACGTCTCTTCCAATTCAGGGAGTGGTTAACCATAGCCAAATTAGAATCAGCATGCTCACCTCAGACTGTAAGCCAGCCTACAACAGTCAACACAATAATAATGCTCTGTGAATAAAGATTTTTACTGTTGCATCCCATCCACTCCTAGTTTAGATCTCAAGATCCAAGGCCTATAGAAGCCATATGTCACAAATTCCTTTTCACATACTCTCTATCTTTGGGTAGGCACGATTATTCTACCAAGTAGAACACAGAACAGCTGATCCAGGACAACATTTCTATCTGGCTGACTGTCCGTTAAACATTTATACCACACCAATTAGTAGTTAACACTACTCCGGGCAGTTTACATCCAAGTTGAAACGAGATAATATAACATAAAATAAATTTTAAATAATATACTAAATACTGACTCTCCATATATAAACAAATAAGGCAAACAATTAGCTTCTTGGACAAACTGGGGGGGGGGAATAAAGTCCTTTGTTGAACCTAATACAAAGCTCTATGTGGCTCATAGTTGTACACTCAAAAGTGCTTCATGCAATGAGATCTGCCCTAACAATCCTCCCCACAAACCCTCACATGTGCATACAGAAGACTGAGAACACTCTTCAACTCATAAATGCAAACATGAAAATAATGCATGAGCAAAGTTGTGAATTTTTTTTCAATCCCGTGAAAAGATTAGAGGCTTTGGGCCAGCAAATATTAATCATAGATAAGTGTTTAATACTAGAAGCCAAGAAACCCACAGCAGGATAGTAACCACATTAACAACGGACAACTGAAAGCATCAGAAGCATGTTCTAGTCACTACCCTTTAGGAGCCAGCCATTAAGTCATTTTAATGAGTTGGCACATGTAAATTTCTGGTCTTCCTACCACATGTCACTAGAGATGGGCATGAAGCAGCACAATGGAGGTTTGTGATGATTTGTCAGTGCCAATGAAGCATGTTTTTTTAAATGAACCTATCTGTGGTTCATTCAGTATTCAGTTCAGGTCCACCTCTCACTGGAGGGGGGACTTTCTGTTAAGCTCAGTCACACAGAAATGCTCCCTTCATGGGTTTCCCACCCCATGCCCACCTTCGTGGTGTCCAGCACTTACCTTCCTTGCTCCGGATCTCTTTCTCCTCCCCTCCACCACTGCCACACTGAGTGGGACAGGCCGTCTAGGGTCTACTTCCTGCCCCAGTGCTTCCTAGGAGGCTTAGGGTATTGTGGGAAGCGTAGCTCTTTGAAGATTCCCTGTAGCCCAAGGGGCAGCAAACCTACACTTCTCACCATATCCTAAGCAGACCAGGAAGCATTGGAGCAGGAGGTAGGCCCCAGACAGCCTACTCCCTGACTCAGCTGGGCAGCAGAGTGAAGGAGGAGATACGTTAGGTCAATGCTTTGAATATCTTGGAAAGTTCATACTGAACTTAGAGGTCACGAAGAGTGATAGTTGGTCACATGTACACTACTTAACGTAAGAGGACCCTTGCTCACCTTTTTCTCTCAGTTGGCCAATCAACCCGGTATTTATTTATTTCATTCCTTTTTAGTAAGGAGAAAGGAAAAAGGCTATTTCATCTAACTGTGAGACAGCGGGGCATATTCAACTATTAGGGTTAAATCTTGATTAAATCCATATAGAGACGAGTGAAAACAAGGGAGGTGCAAGGTTCCTGTATTAACAAGTTAAAATGATATTAAAACACTGTACTCCGCAGATGTACATGACTTGCAGGAGGAATGGACACTTGCAGTTGGTATTTAGCTTCCCTGATGACTCAGGCTGTGCTGTGTTACGGGGTAAAAGTTGTACTTAACTTGGAAGAAGTTTGACTGGGAATGGGAGCAGACCACAAGTCCCAAGAACTACATTAATCAAAACAATACCAGATTGCTGAGGCTTGTTCCTGGAACACTTTAGCCACATTCTTCTTAATCACACCAGCAGGCCAGATGAACTTGACACCCAAAGTGAACCAGAAATTTATACTAGATCAGTGTGAAATATTCAGTGAAAAATGCTAGCGTTCTCTGCCAAGTGGAGACAGGAAGATGCTGGCACTATGGAAAAAGCATCCAATAAACTGCTTATGTAAGATTTTATCGGTAATAAGTCACAGAGATTCAAGCCAGTGTCATTTATTGATCAGATTATTCCACTGTAATTGCCCAACATGGCTTGGCTTAGTTCACTTGTCTAAAGCCAGGCGTCGGCAACTAGGAAAGCCCTGAACCTCTACAGGCCACATATGTCCATTTTTCAAAACAGGAAGTGACCAGACGGTCACCTGTGATTTTTTTAAGAGCCTATTTCAGGCCTAAAACAGAGGCTTCTGAAGGTGTGATCAATCTGTGTTTCAACACAGAGGTTTATACAACATTAAGATTGCAATATTAAACAGCGTGCCGAGTCTTAACTCTGGATAAATACTGTCAGAAGTTGACTATCTAATAAGACTCATGGGAAGTGCTATACTGTAAAAGATTTCAGCTTTGGTTTTCTATTCATAACAGAAAACATGAAATTGGACAGTGAAAATCAACTTACCAAGTTATGGGACTGTGGGAAAGCATATTTGGTCAGGAGCTCAAAGATATCTCTCCTGCTGTGACCCTCTTGTTTCAATGCAAAGCGTAAATTTCTCATATCCTACATTTCAAATCACAGAATTAGAAAAGAAAAGAAACGGAAGTTAACAAGATGAGCAGGTTAGTCCATAAATCTGAAGCAACTTGGCCTTATTTCTATATTTAGTTTAGTTATTCTGAACTACTGTAAATCCAAATACTTGTTTGACTTTCTTACAGGCAAGTCAGAAGACACCTAATGTCTAGAAGACAGTCGGCCTCACAGATTAGCAAAGGACCTCATGGTCTACCTAGGAGTCCTTGTGGGGTTAGTAGTCAGGAGAACTAAACAGGGGACTGGTTAAACACTGCAAAACTGTATGATCTCAAGATTTCGGAAACAATGGAATAGTTTGTTTCCCCATTTGCCAAGCCTTGCTCTTTCCTCCTACAACAAAAAGGCACAATTGGTATGAATTCTAAAGGAAATTTTACCTTACAAGTAATATCTAATCCATATGAATTCTCTCCTCTGCTTGAAGCACCTCCCATTTTCTCAATCCTTGAAATAACGCCCAAAGGAACATCTAAAACCACCACTGGATCCTAGTCAGTGTAAAGATATGAAACAGATTATTCCAAAGAGGCCACATATTCATATTTTTAAGTCCACACATTCACATATGACAAGACATATAAATCTTTAAAACTTTCTGCTGTTGACGCAGAGGCCGTGCTTGACAGAAACTAACTTTAAATGACAAAAAGAGGTCCCCGTTTGCCATTCAGACATAATGTTCTTTGTGTGCATTGACAGAGGCCACGAAGAAGAACACAGCTTTTTTTAAAAATAAAATTTCCACTGCATGCCAGGTAACATGATCATTTTTTTAAAACTTGATTTCGCAGGTGGACTAGTGTTTATTTGATGTGGCACATTTATTAATTTTATTATTTATTTATTTAGTAACATGATCTTTTTTAAAAAACTTGATTTCGCAGGTGTACTAGTGTTTATTTGATGTGGCACATGAAGAAATTCTGTGACCAACTAATCAGGGCCAGTAAGACAGCAGCAGAAGAATAAAGATTGAATGAAAATGTGATTTTTTTCAGTGTTTTCTAAACACAATTTGTCTTTCAGAGTACTGAAAGCTAGTGGTGGCCATTCCATTCATTCTGGAAAAAGGGTCACTAATGAGAAGTATTTGGAAGGATCTCTAGGAGGGGGTAAGTGAGATCTCCTGTCTCACCAGATGAAGAGGTAATGAAGAAAAGTACGTTGGGGGGAAGCTGGCAGAACCAGCAATGCTTTGATTAGAAACAGTTTACAGTTAAAAAGAATGCCCTGCAGATATGCAAAATCTCATTTACTATACCAAATGATATGTAACTTCTGAGCGGAAACAGTCTTTGAGTCACATTGCATTGAAGTAGGCAAATTTGTAATTCTGAACCAAATAGTACATATCAACAGCATCACTAAATGTAAAATAACTATAAGATGCTTGAATGTCAACTAGTCTGTAAGCTGCTGTAACCAATCACCACCATCACACACGATACTTGTTGTCGTTCTGTGCCATCAGGTTGTCTCTGACCTATGGCGACCCCATGAATGAGCCATCTCCGAAATGCCCGGTCCTCAACAGCCCTGCTCAGCTCCTGCAGACTTAACTCAGTGGCTTCTTTTAGGGAATCAGCTCATCTCATATTTGGTCTTGCTCTTTTCCTGCTGCCCTCCACCTTTCCCAGCATTATTATGTTTTCTAGAGCAGCAGTTCCCAACCTTTTTAGCCCCGCGGACCAGCTGGGGAAGGCGAGGCACCCCTGCGCTCATGCGCATGCACGAAGGAGTGCACTTGTGCACATGCGCAAAGGAGCGGGGGGTGTTCGTGCAGGGGTGCACATGCTTGTGCGCATGCGCAAAGTGCTGCACAGCGCTTGAGCGGGCGCTCATGTATATAGGGCAGTGCTCAGGGGGCACTCGTGCGCATGCGCGAAGGGGTGGGGAGAGCTCATGTGGGCACATACACAAACAGGCTGTGCGGGGGGGAGTGCATGTGGAGGTGGGGGGGGTCTGTATCTGTGTCCCGGTCCAGCTCGGGCCACGGACCGGCACCGGGGCGCAGACTGGGGGTTGGGAACCTCTGTTCTAGAGAATCCTGTCTTCTCATGTGTCCAAAGTAGGACAGCCTCAGCTTCAACATTTTTGTTTCCAGACATACACACTATAATACTACAAAGTATTTACCAATTTTACTCTTCTCAAATATAGACTTTTTATTGTACAGTATAATACAATGGAGTATTTACCGATTCTATACTTCTCAAATATAGTCTGTAGTTTGTTATGTACACTCTTCCTTTAACAGGGCCATTAAACGGGCACATATAAATGACTTCCTTGTCTGTGAAATGAACAAATTTACAATTAAAACATTGCAATGCAACCAAGAAATCACCACATAATGGGGCATTTTATAAATAAAACTGCAAATTTACCTTAAAAATCATTATTTGTTACATTTGGGCATGGGACTTTCAGATTCCTTTTTCACTTTAACTATCAGAATTCAGGATGAATCCCTCCCTCTACCCCTGCAGCTAGATTTCTGAAAGCTTTAGCCAAAAAAAAAAAAAAAAAAAAAAAGAAGTCCTCAGAGGAGTTTCTGGATACATGCCTGTTCCTTGCCAAAGTTTCCTTTCCAGCAATAGCCATTAAGCATGAAGGCGGAGGACACAGATGGAGCTTTCTATGGGAACTACAAGGCACTAGGGGACTCATAGTCTCTCTGCTCAGTAGGCCCTGCCGAGGGTACCTCTCCAGAAACTACCAGATCCATTGGGAAAACATCACCCACAAATAGTTACATCTGTGAAGTGAAGGTGGCATATGTGGCTTTCCTCCTCTTGCATTTATCCTTACAGCACTCCTGTGTGACTGCCAGGGCTGAGAAAGAACAAGTGATCCTGGTCCACTCAGCACCTGCGCTGGCTCCGTGGGGATTAGAACACGAATCTCCTAAATCCCTGTCAAACACTCTTACTGAAACACCGCGCTGACTCTCAGATTAAGTGGCAGAAGAAGAAAAACCACTTGGAACACCAATGTACTGCACCACTTTGACCGCTACACTGAAAATATACTGGTGAAGAAGTAAAGAAACACATGTATTCCTATTTGTGTTTGGGAATACAGAAAACTGCCAAGTTATAGTAGTCTGATCATTGGGTTGTCCAGTTTAAAACTGACTGGAACTACGTCTCCACAGTTTCAGAAAGGTGCACTTACCAGTCCAAGGTGACGACGACAAACTTTCAAACTTGGAACTTCTGTTTACAAGCCATGTGCTTGTTCAATTGGCAGTGTCCCCTCTCTATGTTCTTCCTGAACCTCAGCCCTTATCCCAGCAGAGTATGGCAAGGGAAGGAAAACTCTAACCTGTGAAGCTAATGCTAATCTGATGCTATTCAGAGGTTTCCCATCTGGTCTGAAGAAGACTCTGGGGAAGCCGCTCATCTTTTCTAGGTTAGTCCCACCACACCCCAGATGATACTGGGGACTCCCCATTTTGCATCTAGAAGCATTCAACTATATTGCCTATCACCTGAGATTGTGCGGTCCTCTGCTATTCCAGTGCATTCAGGCTTGTTCTTGGAACATTTGATTATTCACGTTGACTGTTTTTACCTGTGACTCTAGTTTCCCCAGGTATACGAGGTATATCTTCATTATGTTCCCAATTAGTTCCATCTTTCATGGGCTAAAAAAGAGAAACTGGTATTAGACTAAGAACTTCCTTTATATCATACAGTTGGAGTAAAAGCTTGTAGATTTAAGCTTCATACACCATTAAGAAAAAGAAGCCGACAAATTACACAAACCTACAGTTAACTCTTGGTATTCCCATTAGGACATAGCTTAAGGAGTAAGAGAAACATCAAATTACAATGAGAATGGCAACTCGGGTTCTTAAATACACAGATGCCACCTAAAAGCTTCAGATACAATCAAACAGCCAAAAATATTCAGGTTTTTTAAAAAATGTAGAAATAATAATACTCACTTTTTTAACAGAGGAATTCTCCATGGTGTTTGAATTACATCTAGGGGTTGATGAAGAGGCCATACTGGGGGGTGAGGGAGAGCTGATTCTGTTGAAAAAGCAGGCAATGAAAATGTAAATTTTAGTTGGACCGCATGTATTACTAGATTCCATGGTAGGGATATTTTTGCAACCTTTGAAAAAAAAAACAGGAAGGTTAAGGAAAAAGTAGTGGACAGCTTCTACAGATACCACATGTTCTCATCCAAAGAGTTATACAGAAATAAATTGAAACATTAAAGTAATCCCAACAATGGTGGTTAGAAGGCCAGCACACAAATGGGATACTTAAATACTGAAAGCACTACAAGTTAATATTTAAATATGCTTTTTGTCTGCAGGGGAAAAGGAAGAGAATAAAGAAAAGCCTAAGCTGTTTCGCCAAACTACATAAGTATAAACACACCTAGGAAAGAGAACGATCAGAAGGGCAGCAGGAATGATCACTATTTTTCCTGTCCTGAATTTTAACTGCAGAACTAGTCAGAAGATGTGCTTCTGTTACCTCCTTGAGCAGAGTGACTTATATTGGAATGCTAGTTTTTACTGATGGCAAGGACACAAGTGTATTTCACACTGAAATGCTTCCTGGATGCAATCCTACACCTTATTACTTTAGAGTGAAGTAAGGTGGACTGAATGGAAAAGATGTTTATTTGAAATAAACACAGTCAGATTTGGATCAGAACTTGGAACCATTAATTTGGAAGCAGGGAATCTCCATATTCTCCAGCATAGGACTACTCCACATTCTCCTGCAGAGCTATGTCTCTATGTACCACTTGAACTCTCTTCTTGCACGAAGAGGGCAGTTTTCCTTTTGCACTGGGAGGGGAGGATTTCAGGATTAGAGAGAGAGAGAGACAGGCGGAGGAGAAGGAGGCAGGGAGGGAGGGAGCTGTGACTCGTCGGGCAGCATTTTTCACTCATCACAGACACGTGGATGAGTGCATTTTCAAGCCCTGCTGATGTACTCAATGCATTCCAGTCTGGCTTCAGGCCACGTCATAGTATGGGCTGCCCCGCAAAATGACCTTTTGAGGGAGACTGACATCAGGCCATGTCATAGTATGGAGATGGTATGGAGAGGGAGACTGACAGGAGCAAAATGTCCTTGTTGGTCCTTCTCAAACTCTCAGCAGCCTTCAATACTGTTGACCACGATATCTTCCTGGGGAGGCTCTCTAGGCTGGGAATCGTAGCCTGGCTTTGGCCCTTCCTAGAGGACTGTCCTCAGAAACTGCAGGTCGGGGAGATTATGTCCACCCCTTAGACTCTCAATCGTGGAGTTCCACAGAGGTTGATCATCTCCCCAATAGGTGGATGACACCCAGCTCTCTCTCTCATTCCATCTCTCTGCATGGGGATGCTACCCTGTCCCTTGAGCGCTGCCTGGATGCCATGCTGGGGTGTATGACGGATCATCGACTGAGGCTGAACCCAGACAAGATGGAAGTCCTGTGGACAGGTGCCTAGTGTCTGCAGATTGGGGGTCTCCCTCTCTTTTGGGAATACTATGTTCAGGAAAACTGGAGATATTAAAGGAACATTTTGTGCAAAGATGAGCATGATAAAGGACAAAAATGGTATGAACCTCACAGAAGCAGAAGACATCAAGAAGAGATGGCAAGAATACAGAGAAATTATACCAGAAAGATCTGGATGTTCCAGACAACCCAGAGAGTGTGGTTGCTGACCTTGAGCCAGGCATCTTGGAGAGCAAAGTCAAGTGGCCTTAGAAAGCTTGTCTAACAACGTCAGTGGACGTTGTGACAAACCCAGACCTACTGGGATCTGCCACAGTTTCACTAAGCTGCCACCAACCATTCCCTATAAGAAGTCACACAGACCAGGGATGGATTTTCAACAAATAAAAGAATAAGGTTTATTTAAAACAACACACAGGGAAAATAAAATGATCAGGTGAACAAGATATAGTAACGTGGCTTAGTCTCATTCATACATGCACACAGTTTGGTTCACACAGAACACTTAACTTGAAGCACAGACCCTGAACCTATCAGTTCTGGCTAACCCTACAGACACCTGAACCTATCAGGTTGGTACTGACTGACACACAGTAGTACCCTGTCTGACACACAGACTCCCACTCAAGCTTCTTCTCTCAGCTCTTCTCCTTCTCTCCTGCTTCTCCACACACGCTCCACATATATATACAGTACAGCCCCTCCTCCTGATGTCCCGCCTTCCACTCCCCATAGGATGGAACTTTCCCTCCAAACCCATGACAGACAGGTAACATCAGTGCTGTATGTAACACCTCCCCTCTTTATAAGTTGTTTTGTAGGGGGAAAGCTAAGGTGCTTTTCACCAAAAAACAACCTGGA